ATTGGTTATTCCCTTGCCGGGATGTTTTGCTGTTTGTTAGACTTCTCTCCCTTGTCGGGATATTGAAATTGTTTTTATTGTTCCCTTGCCGGGATTCCTATTTTGTTTGTCTATTCCCTCGCCCCATTATTTGTGATAGTTGTTTGGGTGAGGACGAGTGATAAAGCACGAAGGGTGATGCCGTGCACGATTGTGATATGAAAACTAATGCACGAAGGAACATTCCGTGCCATGATATGATTACTAATGCACGAAGGGACATTCTGTGCCATGATATGAGTGTTATGCACGAAGGATCATTCCATGCCATCATTTTGTGAGACAAAGCACGAAGGGTGATGTCGTGCACTTTATATGATTGTTTTGGTGAGAACTAGAGTAAAAGCACGAAGGATGGTGCCGTGCAACTGATGATTTCCTACTCTCGTTGATATTGTAGTTGTACTGTTTCATTCCTTATTTATTGATTTTATCCTTGAACTGTTACAGCCCCTACAGCATGCTCCCCTCCCTCTTGACTGGTTGATTTCTGTATACCTTTTTATTGCATACATATATATTGAACTACACAGGTTTGTTTGGTAGTCCGGTCTAGCCTCGTCACTACTTCGCCGGGGTTAGGCCAGGCACTTACCAGCACATGGGGTCGGTTGTGCTGATGCTACACTCTGTGCATCTTTTTGCACGGATCACGGTGCCGTAGCAGCTTTTGGACAGCAATAGTAGATTCGGGAGCTGACTTCAGTCCAGAGCCACCGAGGTAGCCTTGCTGACGTCCGCAGGACCGGAGTTTCTTCTATCTTTACTTTAGTTTGTTATCCTTTGTACCGGAACAAACAAAACTATGTTTTTATTCAGACATTGTATTTAGCATTCTCTAGATGTTCGTGAGTTTGTGACTCCAGTTCTTCGGTAGAGTTGTATTGAACTTCCGCATTGCTTTCAGTTTATTTATATTTAAGACTTCCACTTTTTTATTAAATGTTTCATTGTTTTTAATAATACCGAGGTTTGCTAAAAGAGGTAATAAATAATTGGCTTGCCTAGCTCCTAATAGTAGGCGCCATCACGACTCCCGAGGGTGGGAAATCCAGGTCGTGACAAGTTGGTATCAGAGCACTAGGTTGCATAGGTCTCACAACTCACGGACAAACTCGGTAGAGTCTGAGGGATCGGTACGGAGACGTCTGTATTTATCCCCCAAAGGCAACAGAGTTAGGAAAATTTCACTTTTGTTCTTTCTTGTCGTGCGATTCTGTTTCTCAAATACTGATTGTCTCTCTACTCTGTTCTTTCGCAGATGGCGAGAACACGTTCTTCCTCTTCTACCGCGCAGCAGCCCGAGCCCCCAGCAGCAGCTCCTACGAAGGGCAGAGGGCGAGGCCGAGGCCGTGCCAGAGGCCGAGGCAGGGGCAGAGCTCAGCCCCGAGAAGCAGCCCCAAAGGCGGAGCCTCAGATTGATTATGACGAGGAGGTTCCAGCTCCAGCAGCTCCGGTGGGCCCAGCTCAGGTCCCAGAGGGGTTTATAGCCACCCCAGTTCTTCAGGACGCTTTGGTTAGATTGGTAGGCCTTATGGAGAGCGTCACTCGAGCGGGTTTGCTTCCAGTAGCACTAGCCACTTCCCAGGCTGGAGGAGGAGTTCAGACTCCTGCTACACGTACTCCGGAGCAGGTAGCTCCCCAGGCTCAGGTTCCAGTGGTTCAGCCAGCTGTGGCAGTCCAGCCGAGTATTGTGACTCAGACCGGCGATGGAGCGGCTATGTCCGCAGATGCTTTGTGGAAGCTGGATAGGTTCACCAAGCTCATCACCACCACATTCAGCGGTGCTTCTTCAGAGGACCCCCAGGATTTCTTATATAGCTGCCATGAGGTTCTTCGGACTATGGGTATTATGGAGACTAATGGGGTCAACTTTGCCACCTTTCGTCTATCTGGATCCGCCAAGACTTGGTGGAGGGACTATTGTTTAGCCAGACCAGCAGGGTCGCCATCTCTGACTTGGGACCAGTTTGCAGAGTTGTTCTTGGAGAAGTTTCTCCCCGTTACTCAGCGAGATGCTCTTCCCAGGCAGTTTGAGCGCCTTCAGCAGGGCTCTATGACAGTCACACAGTATGAGACCCGGTTCATTGATCTAGCTCGCCATGCTATTGTTATTCTCCCCACCGAGAGAGAGGGGGTGCGGAGGTTTATTGATGGTTTGATTCAGCCGATCCGTCTCCAGATGGCTATGGGGGTCGGGAGTGAGATTTCTTTTCAGGAGGCGGCCAATGCGGCCCGTAGAGTTGAGATGGCTCTTGCATAGGGAAGTGGTCATGGGTCAGATAAGAGGCCCCGTCATACAGGTAGGTTCAGTGGTACCTCGTCTGGAGGTAGAGATTCTTATGGTAGAGGCCATCCTCCGAGGCCCTTTCAGTTAGCTCTTCAGGTTTCTCATGGTACTTCAGGTGGTCGTGGTTCTCAGCCGCATTATTCTGACCAGCAGCCTCACAGTTCACCATCAGCACCCATCAGTGCCCCACCACTTCAGAGTTTTCGGGGTGGACATTCAGGTCGACAGGGTTAGCAGCCTCAGCAGCCGAAGGCTTGTTACGCTTGTGGTGACCCAAGTCACATTGTCAGATTTTGCCCTCGATCTTCGAGCAGTTCCCAGCAGCAAGGTCCTCGTCCTATGATACAGGCATCAGGTGATCCACAGGCCGCCCAGCCAGCTAGAGGCGGGGGTAGAGGTCATAGAGGTGGAGATAGAGATCATAGAGGTAGAGCTCGGACCGCCAGAGGTAGAGGCCAGCCAGTAGTCGATCGTCCCAGGGATATGGGTCAGGGAGGTGGGGCCCAGCCTCGGTGTTATGCTCTTCCAGCCAGGCCAGAGGCTGAGTCTTCAGATGCAGTTATTACAGGTACTATTCTGGTTTGTGATAGGGATGCTTCAGTGCTATTTGACCCTGGGTCTACGTATTCGTATGTGTCATCCTATTTTGCACCGTACTTGGTTATGCCTAGTGATGCCTTGGGTGCTCCTGTATATGTATCTACACCGGTGGGTGATTCTATAGTGGTCGACCGAGTTCATCTTTCCTGTGTGGTAGTGTTTGAGAGTCTTGAGACCCGTTTTGATTTATTGCTCTTAGACATGGTGGATTTCGACGTCATATTAGGGATGGATTGGTTGTCCCCGTANACTAATGCACGAAGGAACATTTCGTGCCATGATATGATTACTAATGCACGAAGGAACATTCCGTGCCATGATATGATTACTAATGCACGAAGGGACATTCCGTGCCATGATATGAGTGTTATGCACGAAGGATCATTCCGTGCCATCATTTTGTGAGGTAAAGCACGAAGGGTGATGCCGTGCACTTTATATGATTGTTTTGGTGAGAACGAGAGTAAAAGCACGAAGGATGGTGCCGTGCAACTGATGATTTCCTACTCTTGTTGATATTGTAGTTGTATTGTTTCATTCTTTATTTATTGATTTTATACCTGAACTGTTACAGCCCCTACAGCATGCTCCCCCCCCCCTCTTGACTGGTTGATTTCTGTATACCTTTATATCTCATACATATATATTGAACTGCACAGGTTTGTTTGGTAGTCCGGTCTAGCCTCGTCACTACTTCGCCGGGGTTAGGCCAGGCACTTACCAGCACATGGGGTCGGTTGTGCTGATGCTACACTCTGTGCATCTTTTTGCACAGATCACGGTGCCGAAGCAGCTTTTGGACAGCAATAGTAGATTTGGGAGCTGACTTCAGTCCAGAGACACCGAGGTAGCCTTGCTGACGTCCGCAGGCCCGGAGTTTCTTCTATCTTTACTCTAGTTTGTTATCCTTTGTACCGGAACAAACAAAACTATGTTTTTATTCAGACATTGTATTTAGCATTCTCTAGACGTTCGTGAGTTTGTGACTCCAGTTCTTGGGTAGAGTTGTATTGAACTTCCGCATTGCTTTCAGTTTATTTATATTTAAGACTTCCGCTTTTCTATTAAATATTTCGTTGTTTTTAATAATACCGAGGTTTGCTAAAAGAGGTAATAAATAATTGGCTTGCCTAGCTCCTAATAGTAAGCGCCATCACGACTCCCGAGGGTGGAAAATCCGGGTCATGACAGATGTGGTCGACAAGAGTCAATAACACTAATAATTCTGCAAATACGATGATCCAAAGTAAAAGAGTAGATGGATATTTTACCCTTTATAAATAATTTTTTATTGGATAAAATTATAACTACAGTTAAATATGTAAAATTTTAGACGATTTCATACTAAAATGTGATAAAATAAATGATTTTTTAATAAATAATTAAGTTTTTATAACTAATAGTAGAATAAATTCATTTTTTTACTTCTTTTAAAACTATTCATATACGAAAAATTTTCAAGTGGATAAAACTCATATGGTACATAAATTTATTTTTATAAGAAAAATATTGTCGAAAAGAGAAATTATATATAGAGCAGACTTGAAGCGATAAGGATAAAATATTAAAAGACAAAACGTATTCTAAATGAGTTGTAATTTTTCTTCATTCATTATAAAGAACGACAACTCCCTATATTTTTTATACATTACTTCTTGTAAAATATTAACTCAACATTGACGGAGGCAAACGAGAAAACAATAATAATAAGATTTGTGGACTTATGTGATGGTAGATTACTTTTCCTAATTTTTATTTTACAATTCAAACACATTATGTAGTATATATAAGAAAGATAGAGATTTTCTCAAAATCGTATATTCATGAATATAGGATAAAACGCGCAAAGCGCGTACCTATGACTTATATATATCACAAAAATTGGTAAGAATTAAGAAGTTTCACAAGACTGGTAAAATTGAGAACAATGTTGAGAAGAAAGATTAGCTTTCCTTTTTCTTGTATTAGTCAAAGTTTGTGGAAAAGCTGACACCTAGTATACCAAATAGTTTTGTCATTTAATTTTAAGCGTCTATATATTTGCCCATTTTGCATTAAGCTAACCATTTCAGTCACAAGGAGTTGCAAGCCAGAGAAAATATGGCTACTACTCCTGGATTTCTCACTGATTGGCCTTGGAAGCACCTCGGAAGCTTTAAGGTACCAATCATTCATGAATTTCTTTCACTGGTTCTGCTATTGTACTCTGTTGGGCTAAACTGATTCAAATATATTGTAATATTATTAGTTAGTTTCGATCAAACTTACATGGTTTTTCCAAAATGTCTCACATCATTAAAAGTATCCGATACCTTATAAATTGCTTGTTGTTTTATTTATGTTTTCACTTTTCATGTAAGAATTTATTCACAAATATCCAACATACTCCTTCAAATGGTATAGATTGAATTTTACGCAAATAGTATCGACTTATTATCTCAACTCGACTATTAAAATTTGGGTCTTGGAATCGTGACTCTTTAAATAGATTTTTCTTTTTCATTATTTTCAAGTGATATCTGCTTAGCGTATATATGCATTTTATCATTAAATTCAGCTACCATGTCAATACATAGAAGTTAAACTCTTAAACAATTATAACTTTTTATTATTACAATATCATATTAATTTATTTGAATATTAACATGTATAATTTCTTCTTTGTTTGTGATGGGGGATGATTAAAGTACGTGATTTTGGCTCCATGGATAGCTCACAGCGTTTATTGTTTAGCAACGAAAGAGCAAGATGAGAGAGATTCCACCAATTTGCTCATAGTTCCTTTTCTACTCTCAAGGATGGTTCACAACCAGCTGTGGATTAGCTTCTCTCGTTATCGAACAGCCAAAGGCAACAACCGCATTGTTGACAAAGGCATCGAGTTTGATCAAGTCGACAGAGAAAGCAACTGGTCTTTTCTCTCTCTCTCTCTCTCTTCCATTTTTTTAGAGAATGATCGATTTGTGTAATACTAACTGATCATGATATTAATTCTGGCAGGGACGATCAGATAATATTGAACGGGATTGTACTTTATGTGTTTAATACGATGACTTCAGCAGCTACAAACTTGCCATTGTGGAGATCAGACGGTGTAATCATGTCAATTTTCCTTCATGCCGGACCTGTTGAATTTCTCTATTATTGGCTCCACATAGCCTTGCATCATCATTATCTCTACTCTCGTTATCATTCTCATCATCACTCTTCTATTGTAACTGAGCCCATCACATGTAAGAAAATGACTTATTTTCTGAAAAATATTTTCGCCCTACCCTACTAGATCTGGCATAAATTCTTGAAATGGGGTTTTAATTTCATGTTTCTTTGTTTCTTGTTTGATGTTTTCAGCTGTGATTCATCCGTTTGCTGAGCATATAGCATATTTCCTGCTATTTGGTATTCCAACATTATCAACAGTGTTCACGGGGACTGCTTCCCTGGCTTCTCTCTTTGGCTACATTACTTATATTGATCTCATGAATAATATGGGGCACTGCAACTTTGAGTTCATTCCCAAGTGGATTTTCTCCATCTTTCCCCCTCTCAAATACTTGATGTATACGCCCTCGTAAGTCCTTTTTCATTCAACCCCAATATTATTCCATATATTTTGGCATGCCACGAGCACAACCGGAGGCCGGCAGAGCTTATATGCTATTGGTTCAATTAAATTCCGTATTTTTCACGATATATATATATATATATATATATATATATATATATATATATATATATATATATATATATATATATATGTGTGTGTGTGTGTGTGTGTGTGTGTGTGTGTGTGTGAAAATTTATTAAAATTTCATCAAATATGAAAATTCTTGTGAGCTTGCGGCATGGCAAAACTAAGGTCTCTAGAAAACTTGTTTTGATTGAAATTATTTGCTAACTACGTCGTTTGTTCGATCCTCGAACATATTATTGCATCCGTGTCAGATCCTTCATTATAATATATTTTTAAAAGATCCAACATTAGTGTGGATCAGAGCAACGTAGTTTGCTAGCTAGTCCATCTTATGATTGACAATTACATTGTTGACATTGATTTATCAGGTTTCACTCCCTGCACCATACTCAATTCCGAACAAATTATTCGCTCTTTATGCCATTCTATGACTACATCTATGGGACCCTGGACAAGTCTACCGATTCACTATATGAAAAATCACTAAAAAGGCAAGAAGATTCAACAGATGTGGTACATTTGACACATTTGACAACCCCAGAATCCATTTACCATCTCAGGCTAGGATTTTCCTCACTGGCCTCAATGCCTCAAAACAAAAAATGGTACATTTGGTTCATGTGGCCAGTCACTTTGTGGACTATGATCACCAACTGTTTCTATGGACGCACTTTCATTTTGGAGAGAAATAACTTGGAAAAGTTTAAATTTCAATCTTGGTCCATACCAAGATACAATTTACAGGTTATAATACATAATGGAATAATTTTCAATTTCAGATTATAGGTTTTTGTTTTTATTTCTTCTAAGATAGTGCTAATTTTTTTAATGGGCAGTACTTATTGAATTGGCAATCACAAGCTATTAACAGCTTGATAGAGGATGCTATATTACAAGCAGAAGAAAAAGGTGCCAAGGTCTTAAGTCTTGGCCTTCTAAACCAGGCAAGTCAAAGTGCACCTAGTTTTTCTCTTTAATAGAGGTATTGCTTGACGCGAGTTGATTTCTTGAATGAATTTAACTTATATACACAAACAAGGTAAATAGTTTTTATATTATTTGAGTACTTTAATTTATTATAGCAGTTACCCTATCTTATTTTTCAAGATTGCTGATCCTTTAGACGGTTACTTATTACTATTTTTTAAGTGACATGATAGTACAAAAACTCTTTTAGTGTATAGAAGCTAAACTCTGATTGAATTTGTTATACAAATTTTTTTGCTTAATAAGCATGATCTTAATTTACAGGGCGAGGAACTTAACAGAAATGGAGAAATTTACATAGAAAGACACCCTAAAATAAAGATCAAGGTGGTGGATGGAAGTAGCCTGGCAGTTGCTGTTGTGCTAAACAGCATCCCTAAAGGAACAACAAAAGTGCTTCTCAGAGGAAACCTCACTAAAGTTGCCATTTCTATTGCTTCTTCTCTGTGTCAAAGGGGCATCCAGGTATGCTTACCCTTTTCACTATTTGCTCTTTGCTTCCTTCATTATATTGAAAAATAAGTTTACCTTATATACATTGTTAGCATATATAAAGAATGTATAGACTATTAATGTATTTTAAATTATTCTTTATTGTCAGTAGGTAATTTGCCTTACTTTAAGCTAATAATTCCAACTTCTGAAGTTGTGGTTTAATTTAAGTGATTTTTTATACTATCAATGTATAAAAGAAAACTAAAAGAGAAAATATCTTCTTTTTTTTTTTTGGGTAATAGAGATATTTATCAAGAAACATGTATTAAGAGTCATTACAAATTGGGATAATTCTACACATAATTCCTAGTTTGTTCTTTCTAAAAGTAGAAACAACAAAAGGAGGTGGAGCAAGATAATGTATTAGGCTCCTAAAAATATCTAAATTACATCTATTTTTAGCTCCATTTGCTTCTCTAAACATATACTTTAATGGTTGGTTGCCTGCTTCATTTAATAGGTATCTGCAATCGTCAATCAAATTTTGATGAAGGCTAACATTGTTAGATGTGGTTTGCGTATCCTTAGTAATTCTACTATATCCTCAAATGGATATAGTTATCATTAGTAACAACTAATCTTTAAATTGGCTGGCACGACTCACTTAAACGCTCATGAATTGGCTAAACAATTCTTGATTGAAGAAGTTTTATATTAATGTGTTGAGTTGTCCTACATCGGAGGGATTTGAGGTCCTTGGTCTCCTTATATGGCTTGGGCAATCCTCACCTTACAAACTAGCTTTTGGGGTTGAGTTAGGCCCAATGTCCATTCTTATCATAATGATTACGTAGCTTTCTCAAGCATGTATTGTCATTCTTCAAACTGGTTGTGCCAACTCACTTAAACTCTCGTTCTACTGGTCATGCCATGTGGTGAAAACTTTCTGTATTCTATGACCTATAAAATGTTAATCAATTCTTGCTTGACGAATTTATTTGATATTACCTCATTCATGAATTGGATAACCTAATTCTTGTTTGGTTAGGAACTGAAATTCCGATTACATTAGTGCGGCCAAATTTTATTTATATAATATTGATGATCACCAACTATAATCCGTCATACACGCACCATATTTAAAGAGTGGAGAGATGATAGGCTGACATTTTGGTTGATTTTTTAAATTGTACAGTTCTTCCAATTAAATTATCATGTTCTTCGACTTTTTAATTTCTTTTGTTAATCGATCTTACTATTCTTAATATCAGGTGGCTACTTTCTACAAAACTGACTACGAGAAACTTAAACTTGCTACTAGCTGTCAGGGTAATTTCGTGCTGTCAAAGACATTTGATCAGAAGGTAAAATTTTCCGAGTCCATTATTCAAATGGTCACTCAATTATCCCAAATTATCTCCTAAAGTCATTTTTCTTTCGTTTATAATAATAAAATCACTGAACTTTGCCTATTGCACTCAGAAGGTCACTCAACTAGATTTTTCCAATTTTGGATTGCCAAATACCTATTTTACCCTCTAAATTATAAACATTTATCTTCTTTTTCTTTTTTAAAACTTTTTAATATTATAATTTTTTTTCTTTTTAATTTACATTATGGACTTACCTATAATGTATATAATGATGGAATAACAAGATAATGAGCATAGTAAAAATAATAATTAGAATAATTTGTTAGTAATAAAAATTTTAGTATTAACAAAAAAAATTCAAAAATTTATTTACACAATCCAGAATGAATGAAAATAAAGGTTGTAAAATATATATTCTATGTACGTAATATAAAATAATTATTCAAATAAAGGTATTTTTATAATATATATTATATATTCTGAAAATTATGCTCAATTATATTATCGTGTATATATATATATATATATATATATATATATATATATATATATATATATATTCCACGTACGACTTAACATAGCATATTTTACCCTACACAGATAGTCCCCCTGCTTTCCGGTGACAGAACTTGTGTCGTCGGATAGAAACATAATAATATAATTGAGCATAATTTTCAAGAATATATAATGTATATTATAAAAATATATTTATTTAAATAATTATTCTTATATTACATGCATGGAATATATATATATTTTACAACCTTTATTTTTTTTTCATTCTGAATTGTGTAAATAAATTTTTGAATTTTTGTTGTTAATACTAAAAAGTTTTAAAAAAATAAAAAGAAGATAAATCTCTATAATTTAGAGGGTAAAATAGGTATTTGGTAATCCAAAATTTGAAAAATCTAGTTGAGTGACCTTCTGAGTGCAATAGGAATAGTTCAGTGACTTTGTTATTACAAACGAAAGAAAAGTGACTTTAGGAGATAATTTGGGATAGTTGAATAACCATTTGAGTAATTGACTCAAAATTTCCCTCTGCATCTCTTTTCAAAGTTCTTGTTTCCTTTTCTTCTTATTATTCTTTATAAGTATGCAAAGTAATTAATTTTTGCGTGGGAAAAAAACGACTAGTACGAATATTTGACGCTAATATTTTCCGATTTACATATTAAGGGTTATTAACGTGTTAATAGATATGGGTAGTTGGAGATGGATTAACAGAGGAAGAGCAAATGAAGGCAGCAAAAAGGACACTTTTCTTCCCATTCTCGCAGCTGCCTCCTAAAAAAGCTCGCCACGACTGTTTCTATCACCACCCTCCTGCAATGCTAGCTCCCTCTTCTCTACAAAATTTGCATGCTTGTGAGGTTTGTGAAGATTAACTTTTGTGTTCTTTCTATTTACATTTTATAAATGGATTTAAGTTTAAAAAATTATATTATCCATGTACATTTACTTGTTGTAGCAGGCAACCAACTTATCTTTCACGTTATTAGTTACAATCATTATAGACAGATTACCTGTAGTTAATCTAATGATGTGTAAGCATTCTTTTACTCAATATATAAAGTTGATGTCTCTAAAAAATAAGACAGGTTACTTATTATAACATATTTAGATGTACTACGGCCATCTCCCAGGCTGCACCAAATTTTGCACCAAATTCAAATTTGGTGTAAAATTTGGTATTTTTTTGTTCCAATGGAACACCAATTCTTGCACCATTATAGTGCATGAATAGTGTTGCATCATCACATCAAATTTGATTTATTATTATTTTATTCATTTTTTTTATTTTTTGGACTTTTAATTTATCATATATTGTGTATGTAATTAATTTTTATATTAAGATCTTTATAATTTTAATTTTATATCCTATTTTTTTGATATATTAATTTTTGTATATATTATATTTATATAAAATCGTAAGTTAATTTTATTATTATTATTATAATTATATAAAAAGATGCACGTGAATGTCCAGCTCCTACGGTAGAAATGGCAGTAGATGAAGATCACCGATTTGAACAATTTTTAGCTCGACACAAAAAAATTAAGGATAAAGATGCGCATTTCGCACTTCGTAATGCATTAATCAAGCATTTATGGGAGAATAGAGGCGAAAGTTGAATATTTATGTGGTACTTAAATTAAATTGACTATGATGTAATATTTATTTAATTATCTTTTATCAATGATTTCACTTAAAGTTGATTTATCCTTTAAAATAATTTTATAATTAATGATTATATAAGTGCTGAATGTGAATTATATATAATGAATATGGAAAAAAGAAAAAAGATAGTATTTGTTTGAAGGAAATAAAAAATGAAATTTAAATAGAAGATAATAATATAATATAGAAGAGAGAGAAGAAATATTATTTTTTGGTGTAAAAAATGGTGTAATGGTTGGAGTAAATTTGGTGTTACACCATTTTTGTGTGAAATTTGGTGTTAGGATTGGAGATGGTCTAACACTATAAAATTTTAAAAGAAGCGAGGTTACTTACGATAATATATTAAAATGAATTGATATTTATTAAGTAAATTTATAATGTCACTTCTTTTATACATTTCTTCTTCTATATCATCATCAAAAGCTTNTTCTTCTATATCATCATTCAAAAGCTTTACAGGCTTGCTTTCTCTATTTTTTTTTTTTTTTTTAAAACATATAACATTTTGAAGTATGGGAACTTGCAGAATTGGCTACCAAGAAGAGCAATGAGTGCGCCAAGAGTGGCTGGAATTGTGCATGCCTTAGAAGGATGGGACGTACATGAGTGTGGAGACAAGATGATTGACGTTGACAAGATTTGGGAAGCAAGCCTCAAGCATGGATTCAAACCTTTGGCTTTTGCTGAATGAGATAAAACAAGAAATTTATCATCTTTAACTATAAATTAAATAATCTAAAACTGCGATCGAGCTTATGCCTTATCTATTTCTTGTACTCTATATGGTTTTTTGTCAACTAAACAATACAAATGAAAGTTACTTTGAGGCCCTCCTTTTTTATTACAGCTGCATTATCAAGTTGTAATTAAGTTCCATATGGACGATAACTTCTTTGTTTTCCCCTCAATTCGTTGGTGTTACGTCAACTCGTCTAATAATTAGACAGCCAATATTTGAACTCTTGGGGCAAAAAATATTGTGGTTTTCCGTTGGGAAATTTTCATAAAGCACTGTCTTTTAGTAGTAATTAGTCATCTATAGATACCATTTGCTATATTACGGATTATAGATACCTTTTCTGTGGTTATAAGATGTATTTGATGTATTTAAGCTATTGTATTCATGAATACAGTAGCAAAAATAGGCGTGAATCAGGGAATTCTAGCTAATCAGTTGTTGTATTCGAGTTTATTCGACTGTATTCATGGAGTAAAACATGGGATTACAGCCGGACAGACTATTGTATTCGACTGTATTCACGGCGTGAAATAGGGGATTACACTGTTTCAAAATGAAAAGTGAATCAATTAACATAATAGACTCCTAATATAACTCAACAAACTCAATTATAACACACAAAAATTATATTTTCAGTTATAAAAAAGATTCTCAACCGAAAAATACCTCAAAAATATAGCGATCTTCAGAGAAATTATATAATACATCTGAATACATAAATTATATTAATTAAAAAACATATGAATACATTCATGGCATATAGCGAGATAGTGAATACAATAAAATACATAGAATACAGCGGGATACATTGAAATACAATGGAAAAAAAAGACAGTGAATACAATGAAATACATGGAATACAATGAGATACATTGGATTACAATGGAAAAAAGACAGTGAATACAATGAAATACATGAAAATACATTGAAATATATTAACAGAAAATCAAGTTGTTCAGCCCCAAACTCCGTCGTCTTTGTTCAAGAACAAACCCTAATTTCCGGCGAGTCCGCTGTCGAGCAATGGTGGCCAAGGAAAAGCCCAAGTTTCTCTTGTCTGGGCCAAAGAACAAATTGCGGCATCAATGCTCCAGTAATCAAATGTTAATGACAAGGAAATTAAGCTTCAATTTTCATTTTCTCGTGTAAGCTTAGCATAGCAATCTTGGATCGCAAATTTGGATGAAGAACAAATTGGACTCACATTCTACTATACGAAGAAGATCGTCCTCGTTCGACAAATCGAGCAGAGGGCAATTCTTTATATATAAAAACTCAAGGGAAGCCTGAGATCTCCTGAAATTCCATGGTCGAAATCAACATCTCTGAAGTTGGCTTTGCACAAATCCGGTGGAAGGAGGAGGAGATCGGAAATTTTAATGGGATGGGGGAAGAGATTGAGATGTATCAAAGTAGGGAGAGAAAGAAAATAGTGTAACTGATTAGCGTATTTAGTGGCTTAGGATTAGGAGGTAACCAAAATTAAATATTTTGCTATAAACCTTAAAAGGTATCTATAGAATATAATTTTTTTAAATGGTATTGTTTTAAAATAAATAAGGTGTTAGCCTTTGCTATAGAAGATAAAAATTCCTTTTCCGTTTACCATTAATGCGGGTAATGTTATCAAGTCAAACGTTAAAAGCTGAATACACATGCGACCCCCCCTTTTTTTTGAACACCTAAATTAAGGGATTTGCCAATACCTAAACTCAAATGGAAATGTGTCTATTAGCTGGACACAAAACTAACAATCTTCTCGGCCAAATATAATGTGTGACTCTCACACGCGATGTCGTGGCAAATATAACAAATCGATACACGACACATGGGAAGTATAAAATACTCCCCCTCGTTCCAATTTATATGAAAATGTTTGACTAGGCACGAAGTTTAAGAAAAAAAGAAGACTTTTGGAATTTGTGGTCCTAAATAAAAAATAGGGTGCCCAGAACATTTGTGTGGTTATAAAAGCTTTTCATTAAGGGTAGAATTTTAAGTTTAAGCTAAATTGTTATCAAATTTAGAAAGGGGTTATTCTTTTTGGAACGGACCAAAAAGAAAATAGGTTCACATAAATTGGAACAGAAGGAGTATATTTCTTGCCAAAAAAAAAAAAAAATTCCAGATCGCCTCCTTCTCTCCTATTATTCACTGCCCACTTCCCCGTCCCCCGACTGCCCCAGACCTGGTCTTCCTCTTCTCCAATTCAATTTTTTGATCTTTGTAAAATTTTGTGCAGTCATTCTTGTCGAGAAGATTCAGTTTCTTATGCAATTTGGCCGTCTAGGTTTTTTCTCTAAGAGCGTGTTTGGAAAGCCACCTTGAAAATGGATTTGGATGTAATTGGGTGTAATTACACAGTTTGGCATGTTTGTTTGGCCAAGTAATTACTTGATCAGCATGGAATTTGGTGTAATTGGAGGGGTGTAATTACACTCTCCAATTCTCAAGGGGGAGGTGAGAATTGGTGGTAATTACACTCTGTAATTACAAGGTTGCATTTTAGTTTCTTTCTTTTTGTTTTCATTTTTATTTATTTTCTTTATAACTTTTTATTTCTATTATTTTAATTTTTTAATTTTATTTTTACTTTTTAATTTCTTTTAAAATTTTAAATATATTTTTCTTTGTATATTATTTATTTCATCTCACACGGCTCCTAAGTGATAAAAGAAAGAAGAACCCATTTTTTTTTCTTTTTTGATTACATTCTCGCGTATGTATAAGACCGAATCCATTAGAAATAATGAGTAATTAATAACTTGGCATATCATGAATGATGCAATTAAAGTGGAATTCTGTTGTTGAATATGGTTATAAGCTTATTATGTTTCCTACTCTTAAGTTGCAGTGGGACTTACTATTATTATGTTGTAATTTGACATATTAAACTATTTTTTTTATTTTTGGAATCGCGTTATATTCATGGTTCCAATTTACTTGTTTTAGTAGTATTAGCTCACATTGCATGTTGTTCATGTTTTAGTTAGAATTGATAGATTAGTTTTGCCAAATATTTGAATAATGTTATGACACTATATTTATAAATATTAATTTATTTTATCAATCATGAATTCCATGATATTCTTACAAAGCGTATATTTTTAGTTTTTGTAAGTATCTAAACTAAATATTATTAATTTAAAAATATATATATATATATATATATATATATATATATATTATTTTAACAATATTAGTTATAAATATATGATTATTAATTAATGTATAATCACGAAAAAATATACATNCTACTAATTAATGTATATTCACGAAAAAATATACATCTTAAATACCAAATATAATATCATTTATACTTATAAAAATTTATAGGCATATGTTTATTATATTAATTTGTATGTTTTGATAATTACTTAATTTAAAATTTAATCTAACTGTGTAATTACACTTGTGCAACCAAACAGTATACTTGTAATTACACTATGACAAACAAACATGTCGTCGTAATTACACAACCGTGTAATTTCTAGGCTGTGTAATTACTACCCTAGTAATTACACCAATTCCAATTACAAGGTGGCTTTCCAAACAGACTCTAAAGGTCACGTCTACCCCGTCAAACCTCGATGAAAGGTAGTGAAGACCTTCTCTAAATTTTTTGAAGAGGTGATGAATAGAGTCATATGAAGCCAAAGAGCTGTAACATTTTCAGTAATAGAGTACTAATATATATAATAAAGAAGGAATCCGGTTGAGACCACTATATACGGTCAAAATCAAGGAGCCCGATTTCGAAGTCTTAAATTGGGCTATGAGTCCGAGTCCGGGCAACTCGAAGTGGAGGCCGGAACGGACCAAAAAGGAAATAGGTTCACATAAATTGGAACAGAAGGAATATATCTTTTGCCAAAAAACACCCGGTATAGCCAACGTAACTGTCTTAGCATGACAGTCCAGAATAGCATGGCACGGAGATAACCAATCCATGCCCAGAATAACGCCGAAATCAACCATGCTCAACAGTAACAGATCAACTCGGGTCTCTAGATCCCCAATAGTCACTAGGCAAGACTGATACACATGGTCTACAATAATAGTATCACCCACCGGGGTAGATACATGCACAGGTAAGGCAAGGCACCCACGGGTCGTACCCAGGTGATGAGCAAAATATGAAGACACATAGGAATAGGTAGAACCGGGATCAAATAAGACAGAGGCATCCCTGTGGCAGACTGAGATAATACCCGTGATAACAGCATCTGATACAATAGCGTCTCTCCTGTCTGGAAGAGCATAGAATCGTGCCTGGCCACCACTCGATCGGCCTCCCCCTCTGGGGCGACCCCTAGCTGCCTGACTCTCACCCCTAGCTGGCGGGGCGGGAGTCCACATGTGCCCAACCTCCCCGCACTCATAGCAGCTCCCGAGTGTTGGGGAGTGGGACTGAAGGTAACCCCGCGCATCAGGGTGACTGGCTGACGCACTCGGTCTGGAGGAACCCTGAACAGATGGAGCTCGTGATGAACCCTGAGCTGGAAGAGCGCCGAGGGATGGCTGACTCTGCTGATAACCATGATGACCTCTGCCGGAAGATGACCCACGATACTCAAAGCGATCTGACTGAGGAGGCCTAAATGAACGACCTCTGCTCTGCTGGAACTGACCCCTAGACGGAGTACCACTGAAGCTACCAGAACCTCGAGGCCTCTTGGCCTCCTTCTCCTCTCTGTCCTAACGGCGAGCCATCTCAATATCACGAGCAATATCAACTGCATCCTCAAAGGAAATACCCAGAACTCTCTCTCGAGTCATCAGAACACGCAGGTGATAGTTAAGTCCATGTACAAACCTCTTGATCCTCTCTCTGTCGGTCGGAACTATCCACGAGGCATGACGGGCCAACTCAGAAAATCTCGCCTCATACTGGGTCACAGTCATGTCTCCCTGTCGAAGCCACTCGAACTGTCTACGCAGCTCCTCCCTCCGAGACTGCGGTACCCACTTCTCCAGGAAGATAGTGGAGAACTCCTGCCATGATAAAGGCGCTGCACCTGCCGGCCTACGCCGCTTATACGACTCCCACCATGTGAAGGCAGCCCCAGTGGACTGAAATGCGGTGA